TATATATGTGATTCCATATATAATCATATATGATCATATACAATTATATATGATTATATAGAAACATTTTTTCTCGGGAAAGCTATCATTTGGTTATTTGGTTCCCCCCTATTGTGTTTTATGTATGTAAATGTATATATTTTTTAGCGATAATTATTTATGATTTAAACAATTAAGAGAGAAAGGAAATTTTTGTGACAAGCATATTATTTTTTTTTAAAGAATATTTATGGTTTAGTTTGGTATCATTATAAAGGTCTTGATAAGAATGAATGACTTTTGGTGTTTAATAGTTTTCTAATTTGATAAATTTGGTCGGTCACATTTTTCCATTGAATTATTTGTAATTAATCTAGTGATAGCACTGTTATAATTAATAATTTATTTATAAAGTACCCAATTTTATGTCCAGTGTGATTTCAAATATAAAAAAAATTATTCAGCCAAAGTTTTTTATTCATAATAATTCATATATTTCGGTGGTCGCATATTAACTGCAGTAATTTATTAATACGTGTTATTATATTCTTTATTAAGAATATTTACTACTATTACCATTATATAAAACATCATATAAATAAGAAATCCAAATAAATTGGAAAAAAAATTTACAGCGTCAAAATACCGTTCTGCTTACGGTAAATACACACTCGATTTTTTGTAGGTTGTATCAATTTTTTTTCGGTTTCTTACAATAATTTTATTTTTTCTTAACAATAATAGTTTAATTTTTTCTCTACTATTTCTATAAGGCGTGTAGAACTAGAATTACAGTATTAACCCGGAAAAAATGTTTGAATTCGCGCTTCGCGACAAGTAGTGTTACCTGCTGGACGCAATCCAAAGCATCACATAGTTAGCTCGTGGTTCACCCTTAGATATCTAGTCTGCGGCGCAAACTATCCCCTTTAAGCTACAGTTTATGTAGAAATAATTCCAGTGCACCCTGGAGGCCATAGATGCAAGCTGTGAAATATCTCTTTTTAACTGTAGTTTCCCATCTATAGAAGGATAACCATGCATTCTCGAATTATTTAGTCTGTGGCATGTCACTTTCTCCATAAGAAAAAAGTCAGAATCTAAAAATCTGGGTCGCTATAGTTTGTGCTAGTGAATTTAATTAATTTTAAATAGAATTCATTATTTTTAATAAGCATTATTAATTAATATTGATAATATAACACATAAGGTATTATTATAGAGTATTATTGAAGGAAAAAAAGGTCTGTAGAATTAATTTAAATTCGCAACCTCAAAAAACCGTTCTGCTTACAGTAAACACACTCGGTAGTCTGGCGCTCCGTTTACAACGGGATTTTTGAACGGACCTTGGCGCCAGATTCTACCGAATCTGTGGATCATGATAATCATGATACTATTTAAAATACCCACCATAGACAAAATCCGTATAAAAGGGCACATCACGATAAAAAGCTTATGTGTTGGTCTAATGTCGAATAAACACACACAAAAACCGGCTTGAAAAATAGTAGAAGGGGATGCACGAACACATCACACAGTCAAGCCGCTACTTACACAGTCGTATAACGTATTATGATTGGTTTTGCCCCTTCCAGGCTCACATCAAGATTTCTCGAGATTCCAGAACGTTAAAGGGTTAAGATATATTTGCTGGGAAGTTTTGACCGAGAACCAAATTTCCCGTGTGTGGGATGTTTTGTCGGAGATATTTTGTCGGGGGATATTTTGTCTGTAGGATGTTTTGTCGAGGGATGAAAACGCGCGGAACCGCAAAATGCATTGGTTATAGCGTCTGACAAATACTTTCACTCATTTTGCAGTAAATATACTTATGATGTCATCAAATTTTTTCGCAGCTTTAAGTTAATGAGGATCACAATTTTTATTTCAGTTAATGGTTTTACAAGTTGTAGAAAACACTTTCGTTACAATCTTAACATGATTCTTCGACAATGTCAAAAAGAAATCGGAAAGTCTTCGACATAGATGAAAAAGAACACATAATTTGGCGTCTAAAAAACAGTGAAACAAATAGTAATATTGCAAAAGAATACAACGCTATCGTATTATTATTGTATTTATTTTTTTATGAGATATTTATGAATATTTTAAAAATGCATAAAACAACAAAAAAAGTAAAAAAATTCAAAATTCAAAAAGTTAACAGCTAATAAAGTAGGGGGTTTTAAAAAATTGGCACACGACTATACCCACGATTCCAACTCTCCGAGCAATCTGGGAAAAAAAAGAATATTAATTTAAAGTAATGCCGCTACCGTACTAACTAAAGAAAAAGTGAAAAAAATTTTTTTTCATAAAATGGCAACTGCCTGAAGAAAAAAATTAATTTTTGTACCACTTTTTTTGTTTTCCGAATTTTTTAAAAATAGTAAGCATTGAAATTTGGGGATGAGGATAATTCATGCAATAGAGAAGTCTATAAAGAAGACTTACACCAAATTTCTAGTAATTCGGTTTAGTAGAACTTGAGAAGTGGATATTTATTTATTTATTTATTTCTTATACATAGACCCAACAGCACTAGCCATTAACAGGGTCATTCTAACAATATATACAGCGATACAGTGTAACAGTATGAGGTGCCATTAAGATATCATTTAACATAAAAATATTAATACATAAATAACAAAAAAAAAAATGAAAATATCTCGATAAGACACACTTAGTTATAATATAGATTTTACAATGATATAGTTTTAATATAAAAGAAAACAAAATACACAGGAAAGAAAAATGAGTAAATACTATTGTCTCATAGACAAGAGAATTAACGCTAAAGCACTGGTCGTTATTGGTTGGTTAAATCCTAGGAGGTCAAGAGACTCAGCATTGTTTAAAAAGAGATTACAAATCTACGCTATTCTGTAAATAGGGGCTGATTGCTCAAAGTTAGATCGCGCTAATGGTAAGTAACATGGTGTGTATGTTCTAAGATCCCTTGATGGGATATTTATAGATAATTGTTCCAGCAGTTTAGGACAGTCTATAGAGTTGCGTAAGAGTCCCTTGCCAAATAAAAAAGCAGCAATAACTCTTCTCTCCTCCAAGGACAGCATTCCAGTGGTTGCACACAATTCTGTATAATCTGTCCCAACTGTTGGGTATTCACCATTTACTTTGTAGCACAGATACTTTAAAAATCTCCGTTGAACCTTCTCAATCTCGTTTATGCTTTTCCTGAATGATGGAGACCAAACTACTGAGGCATATTCAAGTTTCGGACGAACCAGAGACACGTATAGAACTTTGATTGCTTGTACGTTCGTAAAGTTTTTTGTGTTCCTTATTACGAAACCAAGCGTTTTGAAAGCACTATTTATTATACTTTTATAATGGTCTACAAAGGTTAAGCGAGAGTCAAAGATTACACCTAAGTCTCTGCACACCGTGGTTCGCTCAAGAACAATACCATTAATCCTATATTGAAAGACTGTATGTGTGCGTGAACGACAGAACGTCATAACTTTACATTTAGTTTCATTAAGAGGTAATTTATTGTCTCTACACCAGAGGGCAAGCGCATCAAGGTCACTTTGTAGAAAATGACAGTCTACTATGGATTTTATTTGCAAGTAGTATTTTCCATCATCCGCAAAAAATTCAAAGAAGCATGACAAAATGTCTGCTATTGGGTTAATGAAGATGATGAAAAGTATTGGACCCAAGTTAGAGCCTTGCGGGACTCCTGACGTCGAAACATATTCATAAGATCTGTAACCATTGAATAGCACAATATTCTTACAGTCTACTAAGTAATATGATAAGAGCCTTAATATAGAGTCAGATAAGTTCAACTTCGCAAGGCTCTTGATGAGTAGAAAGATGTCAACTTTATCAAAAGCTTTTGAAAAGTCAGTTTCGATTACGTCAACCTGTCCCCCAGTAGACAGGGATTTATACAAGTACTGGGTGAAAGATAACAGGTTTGTGACTGTTGACCGACCTTTTAAGAAACCGTGTTAGGCATCTGAGATAATGAGACTAGCTGCTTGAAGAAGATCATCATATAGCAGTAACTCAAGTACTTTTGCGAAGACTGGTATTATGGAAATTGGTCTATAATTTTTGACATTCATGTTGTCACCGGATTTAAGGATTGGGCAGACTTTAGCTAATTTCCAGATAGTAGGCACTGTACCAGACATGAGGCAGTAGTTAAATATAGCTTTTAAGGGTCTTACAAAACACCGCGCACATGACTTGACCACCATGCAGGGGATGCCATCCATACCGGTAGACATTTTATCTGGTAGTTTATTAATGCATCTCAGGATGCTTTCTTCACTATAATGATTACTATTCCCAAGGAGAGACATTCTTTTGGGGAACGTGGTGGTTAATCTGATAATGTCATCTGGTACCGGAATGTTTGGCGGGGAGAAAACGCTACTGAAGTAGTCAGCAAACAGTGAGGCTATCTCTCCAGGGTTGGAGTGGACAGAGCCATTAAATACAAAGCTAGCAAGATACACGGAAAGAACAAGATTATACTGAGTGAAAAAAAAATTTCAGATAGTAGCTAGTATAATCCAGATAACAACGAGTATAATCCAGATTACAATGAGTATAATCCAGATTACAATGAGTATAATCCAGATATTATTCAGTATAATCTGGATTATACTAGCTACCATCTGCAAATTTTTTTTCGCCTCAGATGTCACTGAGTATAATCTGAGATGGTATCCAGTGTCATCTTGTTCTTTCCGTGTACTGATTCTGATTTTTTTTGTAATTGATATAATTCCAGAAGCCTTTGGGATTGCTAGTAAGATTAGCTTCAGCATTTCTTTGAAAATTAGAGTAGGCTGCTTTGATTCTATGTTTTAGCGATGATCGTAAACTATTGTATTGCAGGCGGAGATATTCACAGCGATTTTTTCTGTACTTGATTCTGATTATTTCTTTTAATTTACAATCACTGATAATATCTCTAGTAAACCATGGGGGGTAGTTAGTAGATCGGTGAGATTTAGTGATACATTTAGGGAGTACCTTCTCCAGGGCTCCGTTGAGTTTATTGTAAAATGTATTGCAAATGGTTTCCACAGAGTCTGCATTATCCAAGATAGACCAGTCAATGCGATCAAGCTCCCACATTAGCGAGTGTTTCTCAAAATGATGGAAATTGAACTTGCTAACCGGATTTTTTGCTGAAGACTTGGGTCGGTTAGTTAGGAACTGAAGAGAAATAGTTAGAGCTGGAAGGTAAGGGTCGATTTGTACTATTGGACTACTATTAGATTCAACATAACAGTCTATTGAAGCAAATACAAGATCGAGAAGGCGATTGTTTCTATTTAGTATAGAGTTGAGTTGATTTAGGTTATGATACGCTGCAAACGTTGATAATAGCTCAGCCTTGGGGGAGTACTGATCATACAAGGTATGCTGATAGAAATGAGGAGAGTTAAAGTCACCCACGACAACCAGTGCTTCAGCGTCCAGATCAGTATGAGCAGACAAGGCATCAAAGAAGTCTGAGTAGTTTTGCAAATGCATGTCAGGTGGTATATAAATAGCAACGATGGTAGTTGTAGGATACTTGCCGAAAGTTATCCCAGCCAATTCAACTTGAGGAAATTTATCTATTATTGGTTCAAAATTTAGCCTATTGGCATTAAGACACACCTCACATGCAATAATTACGCCACCACCAGACTTCTTATAATCCACTCTTCTATCACACCTGAAAACAGAATACAGATTAGGATAAAATAATTCTGATGAGTTAACACTATTATTTAACCAAGTTTCAGAAAAAACATAAATGTTATACTCAATTATTGCAGTATTGCAATATATAGCTTTTAGTTTAGATTTCAATCCACGAACATTTTGATAATAAATTGAGAAAAATTTAATTGTTGAATTTAATATTGTTAATTTATCACTTCCGGGATCGTCAGCGGATATCACTATGAAAAAGAATATTTCAAGAAAAACGCTTTTAAAGTTTCGCGTAAAGTTTCTCGAAGTCTAGTTCCGCCCGGGCCGGTTTGGATGCCGTGTCAGCAAAACAGCCATTTCTCTGAAAATAATTTGAATTTTCTAAAATCCTCTCAAAGACATATTCTTAAAGGGTTGAGCTTTGAAAATATGAAAAAAAAAATCAATTTTTTCAAATTTCTAGACCAGAATACCCTTAAGTGCTCTAGCTGTACTTATAAAACATTTAATTTAGCCCAAAAAAGACATTTGTTGAACTAAGAATTATCTCGGCGCAAGAATTGTCGTTAGAACTTATATTACTATTTTAATTATTGTTAACTATGAGTCTCAATAAATAGTGGTTGAGTTTTTAAATCTGTTTTGAGGTATTGAAACGTACTCGTTACTGTTAAAATTTAAATAACATATACACTAGGGTGGGTCAAAAAAATCGATTTTTTTTTTTTTTAACTTCTAATATTGAAAAGTTGGTTCTCAGGCACCTCTAGAAAATGCTCACCAAATTTGAGCTCTTAATATTGATAGGAAGCTTATCCGCATCACAGTTTTATATTTTTTGTTAGTCTCTTATAAAAAAGATCATATCTCACTATTGATCAATTTTTTAATCAAATCTTTATACATGTTTATGTGGAAAATTGAATGATCTACAAAAAAGATTTGATATATGTAAGCGATTACATTAACCATTTCAAAGATATCCGAGGTCAAAGTTCAAAAAATTTATCAAAAAAAAATTTTTTTTTTTTTAATTTCCTACCAAATTGGAAAATAATAGTTGTCAAATGAATATGCCATAATTTTGTAGGAAAATTAACGCTCTACAAAAAAGGTCTGATATGTTAAATTGATTACTACAACCGTTTAAAAGATATTCGTAACCGAACCCCAATGCTTTCTGATTTCAAGAATTTTCTAATAACTTTTTCAAATATATCCATTAATACCCGCATGGAAAAATATATATGTGAAAAATATATGCGAATATATATTTTTTTTGCGCTAAATATATGTCCGCATATATGTTCACATATATGCGTAGATATATGTTCACATATAT